CATCTCGAACAGCGAGATATGATTTCGGTTGAATATTCAAAGTCTCGCTAACTCAGAAAGGGAAAATCCTACGTAGGATTCGTGGCCCTTTTATTTGCACTTGTAACTGAGAGAATCCAATGGTTATGGAGTAGGCTTAGGGACAGGACAGTCCGTGTTTCGAACCCGACCTCTGCATTTCGACTGCTTCTAACAGGCTTCGGGAAACTGGCGATATCTCAACCATCGTGCTTCCCAAGGGTGGCATGGTATCTAGGCACTGAAAGAATGCTACGGCTGAACCAGTCATGTTGAACCGCTGTGCATCGGACCAGGTCTTTGAATAGTCCCACTAACTCGACATATCAGCCTGCTATCACCGCCCTAACAATGACATCTTGTGTAAAAACAAATAGAGTTTTGTGTGCGGTATTTCTCGTTGGTGAGAGTTTTCTAACATGCCAACTTCTTGCAAGTTCTCGACTGTGCTGTAGCCCCTCTAGCTTATGAATTCGGCCGGATTCAAACGTCTGGTTGGAGGCAGCATGCTAGAATTAGAAAGCCAACCGGCCCTAACGCAGCGCGCAGCCAGCTGTCTGTTTGCCGATCGATACCAATTCACATTCGAACATACCTGGGCAGACCTTCCACCTCCGAATCAAAATGGCATAACACTGTACCAACTGTTTCCAGTTCGTATGCACTGACGGGGAACTGACATCATCTTCTCGAATGGGAACCAACTGCCAAGTTGGAAAAAAACGGGTGCACGGTCACCTGACCAACGAACAGATGACGCAGCCGAGCTGCCAATACTCCGACGCTTTGCTGGGCTAATAGGTCACAAATACAAGACAGCGTCTACTACACGTAGTATTCACTTCAGGTAAAACGAAAAACCCTATCGCAGCGTCGCAAAAGCTGTTCACGAGTGAAATGATGTCACCACAGCTGTGTTTCAACACTGCGAACTATTTTGCAAAAATAAGGAATCAACCTGGACACCGTGTTAGGCCATGAATGAATCGTTTCTTGTGTCGCTTCCGTCATGCTCACTCACCGTCATCAGTAGTCGAGTTTCGGCAGACACTCAGACAGTGGTCTTCTAGGATGGGGTCCACCCAAGTATGACTTGAGACGTTTCAAGAAATCGCGGCCAATTGACGTCGCGGACATTGATGCTCACCGTTTCCTCCTAGGTCATCTTATTCGGAACTTCTGAGGGTAGGGAACCTAGAATATTTGCGGTAAGCCAGTACCACGCCCCTCTCTAATTCACTCTTTCACCTCCTTTCGCTTTAATACTTTAAGTATAATTAGATGAAATTCCAATTTGGTTTAGACAGGGGACTCACCTGGTACCCAGCTGAATCTCCCGTTTATGTGATGTTCTAAAGCAACGGAATGTGCTGCACCAGACCGACTCATGTTTTAGTTGGTACGATATTTGAGTTATCGCGCACAGACGTAATACACTACTCAAAATGTTGCTGAAAACTCTTTGAAGAACCCATGACCGGTTTTGCCCTTCTTGTCGGAGCCGATCAGGTAGGTGAATTCCAAAAGTTCCCGTCCAACTCATGTATCAATTGAACCCAGATTAAACAAAAATTTGACAAACACGTTCAGTTGCGTGTCGATTTGATTTTCAGGGGAGACCTAACTAATTCCCAGCTGAATTTTCCGTCTAGAGTGTTCTTATTCAGCCAAACGTGTGGCGCTAGGCTGTCTCGTGTTTTGGTTGGCTCCATATTTGGAATATCTCAAGACACTGTATGAACACAAAACACTACTCATAAGGTTGCTGAATACCCTTGGATGACCCCTGATCTGGTGCACCCTTCATGAAGCACACTGGTTACGCTCAGTCCCCGTGTTTTCGTCAAGCTTATTTTCTACATGAACTGGTCGTGGAATAGTTTTTAGCAACTGTGTGAGTTTCATAAAAATAGACCGTGATATCTCGAATGTCGTACCAACTGAGGCGTGAGATGGTGTAGAACATTCAGTGGAAGAACATCATAAACTGGGCTGTCGAAGAGTTTTCAGCAACCTTGTGAGTAGTTTCCTTTATGAAAATATACTGCGATATCTCGAATATCGTGCCAACTGAATCATGAGGCGGCCTGTGTGCAGCACATTCAGCTGGAGGACATCATAAACGAGAGATTCAATTGAGTCTCCCGTGAAAACCGAATTGATTTGCAGATGAGTGTATTTATCATAAAGTGGAGTTTCAGCTGGGTTTGAGGTTAATCTTTCTTGGACTGTTCTCTGAATCTAGCCGTAACTCCAGTTCAGTCAACCAAGAACCCGATAAATCGAGGATCGTAGTTTAGGTCCTCACGTGACTGGACGGATGCGGAAAAGAGAATGCAGAATCTTGATTAGACCACTTTCTGACGCAAATGTTTCTTAGACTCACATGGATCAGGTTGACATCTCTGTAACTCGTTTGTTACCAGAATCCGTCAGAAATGCTGACTTCGGTAGGCGGTTGGAAACTCGAGGGTGCACGTGCGGTATATGCCAGCGGATATGAGACGGATAGACAAGAGTCACGTGACAGTCGTAGGATGGGCCTTGATCGACCGCATGTCTGTATCTCTGATTGGCCTAATGACATGCTGACCAACATGCGTGATGAGTGAACACAGTCGATTAGTTTGGGTAATGCATACAGTCATCGAACGAAAAAAAACAGTTGCAGAAAGTCAATTTAGACAGTAGGAGTTACGTTTTGCAGGTTCAAGGAGAGGCGCGGTTTCTTCAGTGAAGATTCTCACAAAACGGGTTTCTCAAGAAGCCTGACAAGAACAAAAACCTCAGCCACAATATCCAGGGGAGGGTGTTATGACACCTCCCATCAGATGTCGGATATCTGATGTTGATGAGCACGGCTCAGACAGTACAAAAATTGGTTTAGAAATGAATTTGGAAGGTTTGGAACTGATTGATAAGCCGTCGTTTCACACTCAGTGGTTTACGCTCAAGAACAAGGTCTAGCAATGGAATCTCCAACATCCCTGGTTTTGGCAAATATATTTATGGGAGTATTTGAACAGGCAGCTTTAGCTGGATATCCCCAAGTTATTCTGGCGCTATGTAGATGGTACTTTCGTTGCCATGAAACGAGGCAAGATCAGTGGGTTCTACAACTACATGAATGGCCTGAATCCACACATCAAATTTAGTATGGAGGTGGAGTCAACTTCAGGTACACGGGCCTTTGTAGACCGCATGACACATAAGGGGGAACTAAACACCACAGTTTAAGAGAAGCGAACTGACACTGGGGCAGTTTCGAACCACTCGTCTGCCCATCCTAACTAGGTATTCGCTAGTATTGCCTCATCAATGTTTAGGCGTGTAAGGGCCCTGTGCACAGAAGAAGCTGAGTGGACAGCGGCCCAAACTGAATTAAAGAATAAAATTCGGGGTAGTGGATATCCAGCTAGCTTGATTAGGCGTCAATTGCGAACGGTGTTGCTACCGGTAGCGAAACCCAACAGGGAATCGATCGGGACCAATGTTACTCCATATAAACCAGGGACGTCTACGAATTCTAAACACGGCCAGCATAAGAGTAGCTTCCCAGAGGGGGGACACTCTGCGCTCTGCATTGGTGCAATTGAAGGATCGCCCCCTCCGGCAAGCAGAACCAGGGACTGTGTCTACAAAATTAGGTGAAAGACTGCACCAAGGCCTATAAAAGACAGACGGCCAGGGAACTTCACACCAAAATCAAAGGGCACAGGAGAAAAATAAACCGACCGCCGAGAAACGCGGATGAATATCAAGCGTCAGTGAAATACTCGGCAATTGCGGAACACGAACTGGACACGGGACACCAAATGAATTGAGAAAGTGTTTAGGTTTTGAGGCGAGGACTACGGTCCACTACGGTCACAGAGGTTGATGGCCGAGGCGGTGGAAATCACCAAGCACCCCAGTTTTAACAGAATATAGAAGGCGTGGAACTGGCAAGCGTGTGGAGAACAGCTTTGGATCAGTCGGGCTGACACGTGTTGGTGTGCGATTATCAGAAGCAGGAGTGGTCATCATCTGGGTTCAACTCAACCTTACCCACCTCCCCTCCCCCCAACTAAATTATCGCAACACTCACAAGCCCATGAAGAAGCACCTGAATTCGAAGACTAATGCACAAAAGACGATGGCAACTAATTTGAAACTCCTCCAACCTATCAATTCAAGATTTGGCAACCAAACTGGCCGACAAGAGCCCTTAATTAACACTCAACACTGACCTAATGTGCTTATTTGAAGAGGTCTTACTTTACCACGAAAAAGATACTCAGTTCATCAAATCCGTTTATCTCGCTTATGGATTAGGCCAAGCTGAGTCACCCTTTTTAATCCCAGTAAATGAAACGGAATTTCTGGTATATATGTAATGTACTACTCATAAGGTTGCTGAAAATCCGTCGACAACTCACGACCGGTTTCGCCCTTTTTGGGGCCCATCAGGTAGGCGCAGTCCCCGGGTTTCCGTCAACCTTATGTTTTACTTGAAACCAAATTGCACGAAATTAGCGAATATACACTCATTTGCAAACTAATTTGTTTTTTTCGAGAGACTTACCTGGACCCCGGCTGAATCTCTCGTTTGTGATGTTCTCAGGCTTTGGGTACTTTGGGTACTTTAAATGCCCCTTGATGGGGAGTAATCAACGAACAAGTCAAGAAAGTGTGCTGCATAAGTTGACATTTCCTGGATAAGGTTCTATCTGAAGCATCCCATCTTCAGCTCACGTTCTATAAATCCTAATTAGCTTTAACCTACCTCAGATCCCAACAAGGTGCAGAAGTAACGTGATTTCCCTATACTCTGTGCAACTTCAGGTATGATCGAACGGTCATAAGTAGAAGTGGGAAAGAAACCCCTGAGCTCTGATCAGAATGCCTGTTCACAGTACCAGTCTACTGAATGCTCAAAATGACATTGCTTTCGTCACGTTCCTTTAATAAAGATGATCAATTTGAAATAGATTTTCACGGCATTACGCGGACTCACCTTGAAACTCCTTCTGAGCAGCACTCGTGTGTGAGATGATACTACTCACGTGACCAAGAATGGTTGCAAACAGAATGATACCGACCACAGCTTGCACAATCTTGAACACATATGAGAATGGATCATTGGGAGCTATCAGCTTTTCGATCGATATCAAATTAACCATGCCCGCATAGAGCGCACTCAGATAGGCCAGGCTGGTCCGATTGAGTTCCGAAGTGTGATTGGTGGGCTTGGACTGGTTCACAACACGTGACTCGTTCCAAAATCCTCGCTGATCCGACTGACTGCGCATGACAAAATCACTGGCAAGCTGATATATACAAGCGTTCCAGTGTAGTATCGTAATATAGTAGAAGAATAGTTTGATCGATCGAACCAGATTTGGTCTTGACGCATGTCGTTCGGTCCGATCGACAAACTGCCAAAACTTGTACAATTTACACAAGCGGAAAATACGAAACATTGAATTGTACCCGAGTGAGGGGTAGAGAAAATCCAATGGTAATAAACTCAGACAATCAATGTAGAACTGAGTAGAGTTCAGATAGTGTATTCGCATTCTTTTTGAGTTGAACTGAAGCACACCATCCTCGTAGTAGCCAGTTCGGAGAGAGATACTCATATCGATTAGGTAGAGTAAATCCGCCGAATAGTCCAGTAAGAACCAAAGCCAACAGTTTGTCGGGTTTATTTCAGCAAATGCGTAGCGATACACAATAACCCAAAGGTGGTAGGTTACCACCAGACTGATAATACCAAACCAGGCATGAAGTCCTTTCCCAGAAGGACTGAACCGAAAGAACGGGGTTTTCGCGGAGCCACCTTTCGGACCGCGAGTTTTAAGTTCATGCATGGTATGATTGGGCGCTGAAATTCTTCGATTTGGAATGCGCGTTGGTTCGATGTAGTCAGTTAGACTTTGACCAAGGTCCGTGGTACTGTTCGATGAGGTTTTGTTCGTAGGTGAACTCACTGGGCCGTCCATATCAACTGCCGTAAAATTCCACTTTGGAGAAGCTGGATGGGTTTGGTCCTTTCTTCCATGCGTGAGTAACAAGGCTTCGGAATATGTTCTCTGGAAAGAAGATCTTCCCGCGGTGAAGCTCATAGCCATGGGGTCTGTTCACAAGGTCTGCAATGTGAACCGTAGCTGGGATTTATTGGGATCGTAGATGGGAACTTGCAGATGATTGGTCGCCACCGTTCGTTTCTGATTGGTCCAGGCTAACCTGTCCGGGCGCGGACAATTCTGCCGCAGAACTTGGTATGACTCGTGTGTTTTTCATCAGGCTAGATAGATTAATGACCCCCTCACAAGCAAGCACCCTTATTGTCAAAAACAATTGGAATCGGATATGCTGGTGATCAAGATTAATGTAACTAACCACGTTTTGCAACAATATTGTTTACTCCATCGTGTGATTGAGACTTTGTATTCCAAGGGGAAATCTAAACAAAAGATTCCACTAAGTTTCCCAGACGCAACACACTACTCGCAAGGCTACTGGACACTCTTCGACAGCCTACGATTGGGTCCATTCTTTTTCTCCGGGCTCTTCAGGTGGGCGCAGTCCCAGAGGTTCTCTTCAGTCAACCTTATGTTCTAATTGAATCTAAATTTCACACAGTGCGCATAATACACTTGTTTGCGTATATAAGAAGACTCCCAAATGGGACTCGAACCCGTGACCTCTTAGATGTGACTCTAAAATCCGTACATCAAACAGCGAGTAACTTACCTATCGTGTGTCTGGTTTCGACGCACGATGTAATACCACTCATCCTTTAATATCTAAAAAAAAGATGGAAAGTCCCAAATTTTATTTACACAAACCTTATACTCTTATTCAGGTTAATATACCGCGGCACACCACCACACACTCCCCACAGAATACTCACCGTCCCGCAGTATTGATCAACAGTCTAGAGGATGTCAGAAACTTTGGGCAACTTCGGATCGGTTACAGTGTCACTGGATAAGGTTCCCTTACTGGACCATGATGATAGTTGTACTGTACTGTACTGCACTGTACTCTACTCTACTCTACTGTACTATACTGTACTGTACTGTATTGTAACTGTACTGTACTGTACTGTACTGTACTGTACTGTACTGTACTGTACTGTACTGTACTGTACTGTACTGTACTGTACTGTACTGTACTGTACTGTACTGTACTGTACTGTACTGTACTGTACTGTACTGTACTGTACTGTACTGTACTGTACTGTACTGTACTGTACTGTACTGTACTGTACTGTACTGTATTATAATGTATTGTATTGTGCTGTATTGGAAGCGTAGGGGAAGCCTCAGGTGTTTTTTGACGAACTAACCAAAGTCATCCCGTCCTTTGATATGCACTTGTGGAACTAATTTTCAATGTTCATTGCCAATTGCGTGATAGTCGATAAATCTCCATGAAAGTTCGAGAAAGCGCGTCAGTGTTCAGTTTTTCTTTCTGTGCAATAGTTTGTAACTGTTTGGTTGGTGCTTGCTAGTAAATGACTTCGCGGCACTGTAGTGTAGTATAGTATAGTATAGTATAGTATAGTATAGTATAGTATAGTATAGTATAGTATAGTATAGTATAGTATAGTATAGTATAGTATAGTATATATAATGGTGTTAAAACGATTCGCCACCTTAATGAATGGGGCGAGAAACGACCAGGATGACCGCCTGAACGCCGACGATCCGAAAGTACAAGATGTAATCGTGGCCAGTGTCAATTGCAGCTTTCAATATAGTCATGCCAGGTTGGTTCTCAACAGTTCTCTCACAAAGAAACATCTAGACACAATAAAAGCTTTACGAATGGGGAGTGATATACTGCTAACAAAGCCTGACAAAGGAGATGAAGTAGTACTCATGAACAGGGATGACTACCTCAGAAAGATGATGCAAATCTTGAATGACACTTCAAAATTTAACAGCGAGAAAAAGGCAAAAGACCAGATTCAAGCAATTGGGATAAAACTGACAAACTGCTTGAAGCGACTGAAGAATGAAGGTTTGAATTCTTGAGTCTTATTCCAACGCCTGAAGCCTGCCGGTACCACAATCCCTCGACTTTATGGACTGCCTAAGTGAAACCTGCCGGCACCACAATCCCTCGACTTTATGGACTGCCTAAGGTTCATAAGAAATATGTTCCATTGAGGCCGATTTTGGATATGTGTAATTCCCCATATCACGCAACTGACCGATTTTAGAACCGGTACGCCGATATCTATGCCGGTGTGGTCTCCGTGACACTTATGAATTTGTGAACCTGATATAAATATGTGGATAATGGTTCCAAATTTATGTGCCCTTTTGACGTAACTTCGCTTTTTACCAACGTTCCACTCTTGGAGACTATAGATTTTATCTGTGATTACATTGACGCATCAGATTTCACACTGTCAACCCTCACCACTTCATTAAAGGAACCACTCCTTTGGTGTACTTCCAACGTACAATTCCAATTTAACTTCACACTTTACCGACAAATCGATGGAGTCGCCATGGGTTCTCCCGTTGGCCCCTTGTTGAGTGACATTTTTATGGGCAAACTGGAGCTTGGTCGATTGAATGGGGAGATTAGACGCACGCACTTTTATCGTAGGTACATAGATGATATTTTTATGGTAGTACCAAACCGTTCCGAAATGGATGCTCTCCTGACCAACTTCAACCAAGCACATCGCTCTACTCAGTTCACTTTTGAAACTGAAAGTGACAACGCTTTCTACTTCTTGGACGTTAAGTTAGTCAGACTTTCCATGGGTTCACTTCAGAGGTCTGTCTACAGAAAGCCCATGTGGACGGGACAGTACACAAACTTCCTGAGCTTTGTGCCACTGAGGCGGAAACGAGCCCTGATATACACTTTAACGAACCGAGCAAAACGTATTTGCTCTGCTGATACACTTGACTCCGAACTACAGCACATTGCTAATGTACTCCGAGCCAGTGGTTACTCGGAGAGATTCATAACCAAGAATATGTCCGACCGCCCCATCCAACCGCCTATCACGACCGTTGGAAAGAAGTCAATATACTTGAATTTACCGTATGAAGTTGGCGGACATAGTCAACCGCCGCTTGTTTCAACCCTTACAACGCACGTTTCCGGCGCGAACTCTGCGGTCTTGGTTAACACCAAACCCTTTGTTCAACTTTGTCCTCAAAGACAAGATGCCAGTCCTCATCCAGAATATGGTTGTGTATTCTTTCTCCTGCTGTTGTTCGGCGGAGTATGTTGGGTGCATGACACGGCAACTTTCTAAGAGAATACGCGAGCACCTCCCTTACCGGAATACCACTAACCTCAACAGTTCAGCCAGGAGCTCAATTGCATCCCACCTAATTGACACCGGGCATCTAGTCATGCCAGATGAGTCATTTCAAATCATTTACCGCGTGCCAAATAAACTGCCAGTATCTATTCAATGGCGTTGCTTGACTACAGCCGAAGCAGTCGCTATACGCCTGCGAAACCCGGTACTGAACTGTCAGAAGCGTTTCGTACGAACGCTGAGTCTGCTTTGGTCGTGTGACACGAATCAACCGGCCAAGTCACTCAACAGCCTTGCTTGACTACAGCCGAAGCAGTCGCTATACGCCTGCGAAACCCGGTACTGAACTGTCAGAAGCGTTCCGTACGAACACTGAGTCTGCTTTGGTCGTGTGACACGAGTCAACCGGCCAAGTCACTCAAAAACCCTTTTGACTGTCTCACAGCATCCAACTAGATGCGATATGGGGGGTGGGGCAGACAACCAATTGTTTGTATCTTCACGTTTTGCATTGCGCTAACCAATCTTCGCAGTGTATTTCATCTTTCATTCCTATTTTAACCATTAGATATGTACTGACCTGATGACGAGAACGTTAATGTTCGTCACTGTGTTCTTTTTCAAACCATGGGGATATTTAAGCAAAGGGAGGGTCAACATGATACAAAAGGCAGGAAGTTTACTCTTCAACAGCTTATTGTGACAGGATTGCGCTCGCCGAATTATCCTTGTTCCGGCAACACCAGTCTGCCGGAGCCTCGCTGCTGTTAGGCGTTCCTATCACAGTTCAAGGCACTGAGGTAACAACCTATTCATGTCATCACTGAGAATTTCGCTTTGGCCTTTTGTCCTGTAGTAAAAACACACGGAAACGAAGGATTTCGAACCATCCAACATTGTTTCCACTAGGTCAGTGTTTTCGCCGAGCAGCATTCTCATTATTACGAAGGCTATCGATTGACTTAGGTATGCTTCTTCCCGGATGCACCGAATTCAGCAGAGATGATTGCGTGACACTGCAGTTAGAGAGCCGTGATATATTGCTGGTTGGACTTGGGAGAATCCTAACTAGAGCTCAAGGTCTACCATAAAGCAGGCAACCATAGTGGCGTTTCCTTCAGTCCTATCACGCAATATGATGTTTTATCGATATCTCGCATGTGTACTAGAAATTCATTGTGCAGTCAATGGTTCACTGCGCTGAAAAACAAATATTCAAAATTCAAAAGTCCCAGAATTAATAGGAAAGGGGAAAATCAAGCAGGTGGGTAACCTCAAAGACGGTTGACCCACCAATAGGGTTCTGGGATTCTTGTTTGTGAGCTTGTGAACGATCAAAAGGAATGACCTTGAAATCCACCAATGAGATGCAAGATAAATGTGTTTTACCAAACGGGCCGGTTCGAAATGTGTTGACATGGGTTTTTTGTACTATGCATTAAGGGGCCTGTCATCAGACAATCACAAAGATCAATTCTTTTCCAACCTGAGCTAGTAAAGTGTTCAACCCCACCGGAATCCAACTATTCATCGTCACTAACCATACAAGACACCACACGACGGTGGACGTGGCATGAACTTATTTATTCATGGTTGTACCAACACGGCGTCCAGGCCTAGAGACGAGGATGATTGGGGTCCTCAACGAAGGGCCTTAGTTCAACGGCCTGACTGTAAGTGTGTGATGGTTAATGTAAGACGGCCAGAGAAGTCCACATTTTTAGGGAACGTATATTCCGAATCCCAACCTGGAGGATCAGGAGGCTATATTACTCAGAAGTCTACTCTTTGAACAACCATGTACTGAATGCTAGATGGGTGTCACTCCCAAGTACAGCTCAATGGATTAAGAAAGTGTACAAACCGATGTCAGCGGCACGGTCCAGTCCCTCCCCCTGAAAAGTGTAGATTATTCACAGCAACTAACCCTCATCCAGTTAATGTGTGCTTTACAGAGTTATTAACTCCAAGCCTTCCATCTCAATCAGTGTGCAACCTTTGCCAAACTGTGATAACGTAATGTGTTTAAACTTGCGTTCCACCTGACATATCGCTAGGTGTTCACTGTTGACCTTCACGGAGCGCAGAAATCAGAGCCGATCCAATGACTTATCAGTAATGGATCGCGAGCCTTTATTCACAGGCCTGAGAGGTCGAGATACCTTCAAAAGATCCGTAGTTGGGCAAAAACATCGAATAAATCGTCAGAAGTGAAAGCAGTTAGTTACATAGTCCCCCTTATGCCCTAAGAATGCCTTAAGTTGAAGGCGTGCGATTTCATGATTATCGTGAAGATGTTTGATGATCCCTCATGTCTCAGTCAAATCTACTCCGGATCAACCCGCTAACAGAACAATTCGTTCTTTGGCGGAACGGGTAACTTTCGTATGACCTTTAACTACAATAGATATGGAATACGTGTAATTCCGGCACCCCGTCTAATTGACACTTCATTACAATGTCACTGAGCTTTTCAAGTACAATGCACGAACTAAATT